TTGTGTCTTCAGCCATGTGAAGTGGTTAGCATAGCAAGTGGTCAGACAAGCAATGGAGTGGTTTTGCATGGATGTACAAGTTGTGAGGTACAAGTTACAAGTGCAAGGAGCGGACGCTGTCTGTCATGCTACACCGCAAACTTTTGTGTGCTGCCTGGCAAAAACAGTGACTAGCAGCACCATAGCCTGGCATGGTGATCTGTAGGGCGTATTGGCAAAAGGCCAGTGCTTGACCATATATTGGCACATGCAGTCCACAAAGATTAGCGCAGGAATTTCTTGAAACCTGGGATGTGTTTCCATCAGGCAGCAGCACAGTTCATGCAGATGCACGACTACCTTGATCTGGACACAGGTGTGCGTCTCAAGATCCTGAAGGCACTTGTCAGCATGGCCCTTGCAACAGAGGTCATTCGAGAGCATGTCAATGGCCTTGTGGAGGTGTTCTGGGCACAAAGGAACAAAACCCCAAAGCCTGAAAGTCAAGAGGCCACGCACGAGGAGGGAGGCGCAGATACTGAAGGACAATCTGTGCTCACCTCGGACAAGTCATATGAGGAGTCTGAAAAGTGGATGAAGTGGATGGCATCGTGCAAGTGAGCAATTTGGCAGAAATCTTTTCTAAAGAATTTGTGTAAAATTGTGCTTAGAGCATGTTGCACACTGCAGCCAGAGCTTGGAAAGGATTTTGTGGTGGTCCTGACTGTAGCTGAGCCCTGGCCACACAAGCTTGTTGCTCTTCCTGATGTGCACGTAGGTGCTTGGCTTACATGGCGAGTTTGGGAATGTGCATATTGCACATTGTTGCAACAACCAGAGCATGGGAAGGGGACGTGCATGTTGTGCCATGAACGTTGTTGTCTCGGCAAGAAGTTTGCGTCCTGTTATCACTTTTGGTGTCGATGCACTAACGGGTTATTGTTCACAACCCGACAAAGGAGCCTGAAAGCCACCGACCACCCCTGCTGGCCTTGATCGTGGCTTGGTGCGGCAGCCTGCAGCACCAGAATGTATTCTGCTTTCCACTGAGTGGTTGACCCTTGCATGTTTGCCAAGTGTTGCACCAATTGCTTCACATCCATGGTATGTGCGCCCCAACGAACCCTCTCTGCATACGACAGAAAGACATATTCATATGTGGGATTGATTCTTTGATCACAAGCATCCATGGTCATGTCTGTGTCATTCTAACGAAGCAGAACCCCACCGGGAAGTTCGTTGCCTGTGCACAAGTATAGACAACTTTGTGCTGAATTCCATCGTGTCGTTCAGATTGGGTTTCCAGAGGATGCTTGGAAGGGACTCATTGGGCCGCAGATACTGGGTGTTTGGTGGGCGTGCGGGCTGCTGGCGAGTGTTTGTGGAGGAACGCCCACACATGGGGGAACCAGGGGCACAGTCTTCCTGGGGATACTATGAGGGTGCATCCTGGAATGACCTTGTCGCATGGCTGGCAAAGGGAGAGCAGCCTTGGGATGCACAGGTGCTGGCCCTATTACAGTCTGCGCCCATGCCTCCCCAACTACCAACCCCTTGTCCAACTCCCAAAAACGACACAAGCCCTGCTAATACCCCTGCTCAAGAGACGTTGGAGAACAAGCAGTCCTCCAAGCTGGGTGAGTCCCTGACAGCCTCATTGATACATGTGACAACAAAATGACAAAGCAGTGCCCCTGAACCTGTTGGAACCTGTTGTTGCGATGTTGGGCACTGTTTGCCACTGCCACTGTGTGTAGTTCCTGATCGCCATACATTTGCGTTTCAGCATCAGATTCCGTGTGTGGGAACTGTGCTGTACTGGTGTACAGCTTGTGATCTGCAGCATAGGCACTTTCGGATGTGGTCATGCACAAGCAGGGAGCCCTTCCAATTTTTCCTTTGGTTCCAGATGGACAATGCAGGCCTACTGTGTACCTTTGTATTGGTTTGGGTGCTCAGCTATTGAGGCTTGGTCTTTTGCTGGCGATTACCTGGTACTGCTTTCATGGAAACTAGGAGTGTTGTGCATCACCTGCCCTCATTTGCCAGTGCAATTGTGCATATGTTGGTTCTTGGGAAGATATGGTTTGAGTTGAAGCTGTGGAACGTCCTTGATCGACGCCTTCTGTTGCCATATTTTATTACTGGAGCTGTGCCGACAGCTTGAGTACTGCTTGGGGTCCCTTTTTGGTCATTGGGAATGCAAGACTGGAAATGTCCATATTGGGGACATGCATGGCCAAGGCTGTGGTGTTTGCGTGCCATCTTGAGGATCAGCCTGCATTGCCTGTGTGCACTGCTGCCAACTGCCTCCAGGGGCTTAAAACGATTGCTTTATTGTTCATCGTGTTGGTTCCTTTGCCTTGAAACAATGTCTCTGTCCATGCAGAGGAGCCAAGAAGAGCAGCAACTGCCCAGGAGCTGGATCTTCTAAGGCTGGATGGGTACAGAACGGTCATAGCACCGCTACTCAGGGGAGAAGGCTCCAATCCAGAAATAAACTATTGCAGCGCTCTGGAGGTTCGGATGCTAGCTTGTCTTGAGAACATCATGGCCTGCCTACCGTTTTGGTCTCAAGATGGGCGTTGGTGTTCAAGACTATGCAATGTGATGGAGTCGGCAAAGGTAAGGTTGTTGCGTTCTTCTTTTCTGTTGAGCAGTCGCTGCATTTCAATATCTTGGCATCTTGGCATTGCCTCCTGACAGGGTGGCAACTCACTATGGCAATCTTAATCTACATCTGCAGCATCACCAGCAAGCTGCTGTGCATCTGAACTGTGGCATATGTTTTTTGATGGTATGTGCAATACCAAAAAAGATGGCGTATGTACAGCCAGTGCCTTTATCTGTTGGCTTTTGGTAAGCAAGTGCTCAGTTTGCTGCTTGCTGATTCACAGGCAGCAAAGAGTGCCTTTGACATGGCGCACTCACTCGCTGAAGCAGAGCAGCTTCTGTTTGAGGCTGGTGTCCTGTCACCTCGCTGGACAAACCAGTTGCGCGGCGGCTGGCGCTTCAGCCTGACCTCTTGCAAGACCCTGAAGGATGTCAGCTTGCACCTTGTATCCCTGCAGCATTGCCTGCTGCCTGACCCGTACAGTCTCCACAGGATGGCTTTCGACACGATCACTGCAGAAGCAAGGTTAGCTGTGCTAAGATTGTATGGGCATGCAACAAAGGAGACAATGGGCTGCTGCCATAGGCAATGAGAGCACGACTTCTTATCGCTGTGCTGTGTTTTTTGCCAAGCACAGCAGTATCGCATGGTTTGCCTATTGGTTCTCGGAGATGCCTGGCGGAGTTGTGCTGTAGAGTTTGTCCTCCACTGCAACTGGTGCTGCAACACAGTCATATACAAATGGTGTCCCCGGAAGAATCATTCCCCCTTTACTGGCAAGGCCGCACGCAGCCTGTTCGCCAGTTGTGGTTGTGGAGCACACTTGTGAGATGGTCTTCTGCCACTTTGCAGGTGTCCCCTTTACTTTCCACATCCTGGGTCAACTGTGGTATTTCTGCGAACGGGGTGCCAGCTTCACCTGCAGAAATTCCTGGGCATTGCAGCTGCACCGACTGGGCAGGTTGCGGATGGTCCACCAGGGACAGCTTCTGTGAGTGAGTTATCGGAAAACGAGCCACGCCATGAACCAAGACAGCAACCTCAGGGAGACCCCGCACTCGCAAACGCTCTCCAAATAGTGTCTGGGCTGAGACCTGTTGAGAGATTCCGAATCGCATGCATTGCATACAGAAGGTGAGCCAGAGTCCGGGTGGGTCTATCTTCTGCGTGCCTGTTGTGCATGGCAGCATGTCTGCTGGATGCATGCGGTGGGATGCAAGATTTCAGAATGCAACTATCTGCTGCGCCGCATGTGCCAGCCAGCATGTGCAGGTTGCCAAGGAGTCGTGGGTGGTAGCCAACTAGGTGGATCGGCACATTTGTATGCAGAATTGTTGGGGCTGCATGACCATTGATCTTGGATGCATTACGAGATGTCATCTTCTCCTTGCATCATCCTTGCCATGTGGCAAAGGGCAGAAACCTGTTCATGCTTCATGCCTTACTTGCTTACACATGCATGGTGTGTTTCTCTTTGCACAGCCCCTTCCCCATGGAGGTCCCTGCAGGTGCTGCTATTTCGCCCAACTCTCCCCCACCTCCGGCAATAGCTTGCCAGTGGGTGCTGCTGCAGCCCATCAAGCTGAGGCCAGGCTCCGAGGGTCAGGCTGTGGCTGTGCCCATACATGTGGACAACTCTCTGCCAGATTACATTGTGAATGTGTCTGGGTATGACCTGGGCATGAACAAACACTGGCAAGCTGGAGACCGGTTTCGAATGTTCTTTGCTGGCAAATGGTCCTCCAGAGGTCAGGCTGGTGTTTACTACAAAGGCACCGTCGTGTCTGTTGCTGAGCACAAAGCAGACCAGCCATACGACCCTTGGGAAAGCTTGACTGTGGAGTGGGATGCAGACAACTCTGAAGGCCCACTAATGAAGGTGACCATCGTGGCCTCCTGCTGACATGCAATGCATAGACTTCTGGGTCAACACACTGAATGTTGCAAATTGTGGAATCAGATAAAGATGGGTGCATGTACCTGCTACTCGTTGCACTTGGGACAGGATATGTTAGAGGCAGGAAAATGTCCACTGTTGGATCGACCTGTTGCAAAAGTATGTTGACTGTGAACATGGCATGCCTGCTTGCAACAATATGTTTTGGTTGTGTGTCCAGCTGCTTGTAGTAATGTGCAGTATTAGTTGACAAGAAGGGATACATCCACTACTACGTCATCCCCCACTTTGAACATGGTTTGCCTGTCTGCCATTTCTTGCAATTACACGCAGGCAGCAACAAGCGTGCAATGGATCAGTAGGTAAAGGCAAAAGCAAGACTATACAGGAGAAAGCGCAACAGGGACAAGCACTTGAAAGCTTGTGATTGCAAGCAGTGCACAATGAAACGGTGCACATAATGTGGGCAGAATACCTAATTCCAGCATTGTGTTTTGTGCTGGCCTGCAGGTCTCTCCTTGGGAAATTGAGGTTGACCCAGAAGACGAAAAACGGCGTGAAGAGGACCGACGACGTGAGGAGGAGGTATTGGTGAGAGCAGCGCGGGCAGCTGCCAAACAGCAGAGGGCAGAGTATCTGTCCCAGCTGGGTGGTTTGTCAGATTCCGGCTCTGTCCATGACCCTGACTTCGATCCTGATGGAGAGGCAACAGGGGGTAGAGCGCGGCGTTCACGGGGCAATTGGGTGCCGACCTGGCAGGTGGGGGTGGCACATGAATGTGCAGAACGTTTGGTTTCTTTCTAAAAGACGCCTACAAGGACAAGATAGGGCCCTTGCACATTGTAAAAACAGTGACCTGTATGCTCATGTGGAATTATGAAATCAGCTTTTGGATTAATTGAGGTATGGTTTGTAGCATTGCCTTTGGCTGGTGTGCGGTTAGTTATTGTACAACAATTGCTTTTTGGACACTGCTCTTTTCGAACATGGGTATCATTGTTATGTGCTGTCAACTAGTTAAGCAGAAAATTTCCAGTTGTTGCTCAGATGCTTACTTGGCTATTTTGTGCCTGTTTTTGTGCAATTGTGCATCGACATAGGGGTGTTACCATCCATCCTTTTGAATTGAATGCTTCTGACATGAGGGTGTTGACCTGATAGTGTCTCTGAGTCCAGCTACCTGAGGCTAATGTTTGTTGCGGAACCTCTGAGACTCCCCATATGGTTTGTGAGAAATTGGCTAAGGTGTTTGCGAAGGACTGGGTTGCCAGAGCAGCACAAGCCTGTTCTGAAGAGAATGTGTGCCACTTGAGGTTATAATGAGTGCTGTGAAGCCAGTCCATTGTGTTGTTTTTACTGAAATTGTGACACAATGGCCTTGCAAGGCGATGACAGTCCTGTGGACAACTTGTACTGAGTATTGTTGTGGTTGGCAGCCCCCTTCTGGATCAGCGTATGACCCCTCAAGACCAGTGGGGCCCATCCCTCCCGATGTTTTGCAGGGCTTGCCGGACAGGGATGGATTTGCCATCATCATACACAACTTCATGCGGAGGCTGAAGGGCAAGTTCAAGTGTCCCATTTTCGCTGGCCAAGAATTGGACCTGCACAAGGTATTTTCCCTACTGCCCGTTGTTGCATTAAGGAGGCACTCTTGTTGCTCGTGACCCCTGATTTTGCCGATGCTAACTGCTTGTGGGGAAGAAACCTGGAGGGAAGACAACCCAGCATTAGTTGTGGCCTCATTTTCACACTGTTGACTGCTGGCCTTGTCTGGTGTTTAGAAGCTGAACCGCTGGTTTTTGGTGCTGCTGCTGTTGTTTCCTGTTCTGGATATTTCATCACATTTAGAGACCCCAGGTGCAGCCCCTGCCAATAAGGGATGTGGGCATCGTACCAGGACACAAGGAAAAGCTCAAGGTGATGCACTGCTCAAAAGATTGATCATATGATTCATGGATGCACAGGCCCAAAAAGAAGAGAAGTTGGCAGATATCATAGCAACATGGAAGAGCATCCATCATAAAGTCCTTGGATGCAAGGCTTGCAAGGCTTGCAAACACTACCTTGGCAGCTGGGGCCTGATTTTTCAACTTGGATTCAAATCATAACCTACTTTCATTGCATGTTGACCTGCAATGCAAAGCAGCACTGTGTAACTGCATCTTTCAAATGTGCTCCAGGTGTTCCATGAAGTGCAAGTGCGTGGTGGCTATGACCGTGTCACAAAGCTGAAGCTTTGGAAAGATGTGTGCCGCACACTCAATGTTGACCTCAGGGGCCAGACCTCTGCATCTTATAACATGCGGCTGAACTATGAGAAGTGCCTTTTGGACTTTGAGCATTACGTTGCGTCAGGTGCGGTACTTGGTCTGGGGATGGTGGCGTGCAGTTTCCCAACAGCACATCGAAATGGCTTTTTGTGCCATGGACAGCATCTGCCTCAGGATCCTTGCTCCGGGGGTAACCTGTGCATCACGCAGTTGTGTTGATGATGGACATGACTGCATGTCTTCGTTTGTTTTTGTTATGTTGAAGTTTGGCCTGCAGCCTTTGCGTGTGCAATGGTTGCTTTTGATGTTGGTCAGTGAGCCAGTGTTTGTCCATGGTTAACTAGGCGATTGACGAGCATTGGATAGAATTTGATAACTATGGATCTGTGGAATGATTTTATTCGCTGTGTTCAAGCAGGTGAGTACACTCGGGAGTTGGCAGAAGGCGTGGCCCCTTCAGCTGTAAAGATTGAGAGCATCACGGCAATACCCAGACCTTCAGGTGCCCCTGCACTGGATGAAATGGCAGTGGAAAGTGGTGTGCGGGACCCCTCGCAACTGGCCACCCCCACAAGTGCAAAGATCGCTGCAGCAAGCACGCCCCCAAGGGGAGTGTCTATGACTGAGCTTCTTCTTGGGGATGATGTGATGCCAGCGTGGGGAGCAACGCCTTTGATGCCTGTACCAGGTGTGGTGCATTCCATTGTCCTTTTCCTTGCCAATGCCCTGAACATGCACTTTTCGGCTGCTACCTTGGCCCAGCCATCCCTTCAGTGTGCATTTTCGGTCTGAAACAAATACGTCCATGCCGCTCAAAAATCGATCTCTTACCTTGAAATGTTGCGATGTTCTTATTTCCCTGTCTTCCATTGGGCCACTATCAGCAACAGGGTGGTCCTGTATTTACAGATCTTGCAACAAGTGCGGCGACGCCCCCATCTGCAGTTTTGAATCCGGCATGGCTGCGCATGGTGGCTCCTCCCCACTCTTGCCCACCCTCCTCAATAGCTCCAGCATCATCACCTCCATCACCGCAGCCAGGAGCACCTGGCTGGCTGGACAATCCTGCCTCCAACCCCCTTGTAGATCACTCCACCAACAAGAAAGCGTATTCAGCATCGATGAGCATGAAGCCTGGGCATGTACCTGCAACATGTCCCGTTGTGGAAATTCAAGCGGGAGAGAGCATAGGCATGGCTTTGAACCGAATGGGACAGGCGCTGGTCGGTGCAGAAGTGTGGCGGCGCTGGCCGGCGCATGGCAGCTGGTACCGTGCGTCGGTGACTGGCTTCAAGTGTGAGACGAATGAGCACTGCCTTGTGTATGAGAAGGATCTGCACAACAGGAGCGTTGAGTGGGTTGATCTCAGGGAGCTGGAGTCTGAAGAGTTAAGGCAGATCTGCCCGGAGCCTGGGCCATCGCAGCTGGAAGATTTGAAGGGGAAGCGATCCACTGCATCCAGTGCATCTGTGCCTATGTCCATGCCATCAGGTCTGCAGCAAACTGTGCAGCCTACAGTGCAAGCTTTTCAAGGCCTCTCTGATCCTGTCTTCCTGCAGCAGTCGCTGCTTCACCAGTCTGTTGGTGGATTGAACCTGACATCACAGCCGGCACTGGTGCCCAGTGTGATGGGTTCATTGGCATCTGCCAGGATGCTTGGAGCAGCAAACTTTGCCAGCGCCGGGAATGCTCAACAAGGTGTGAACCCTATGGAGATCATTTCTCAAGTGTTGAAGGCCGGAATTGCTCCAGATGCGCTGAAGCGGCTAGTGGATGATGCAGCATCGAACTTGGGACCTGCCAACCCTGTCCAAGCAAAAATCTTGCAAGAATCTGCACAGCTCGCAGCCCAACCTTCTTGTGGCAGACTTCCAGCTCACAGTGCAGTGGCGCCAGTCAGTTCAAGCTCCAAGCCCTCTGGCGCCCCGGCTGTTTATTCTCAAATGCTGCTGCACAGGGACCCTGACCATGGAGTGCCAGGAGGTGCGAGTACACCAACTCTGCTAGCATGGGGAACAGCACCTTCATCCTTAGCTCAGATGCAAGCCGCAGGGCAGTCTAACACTGGCAGTGTGGTGAATAAGCAATTGGGCCCTTTGGTGGGCAGAACACAGGTTTTGAATGCTGCACCCAACAGTCAAGTGGCAGGCAATGTGGTCAAAGGGCAAGACAAGCAGGGCTACAAGGACATTGTCAAGAACAAAACACCTGGAAGCCTGACGTCGTTGCTGATGACAGACCCTCCAACACAGACACCTGTGGAATACTCCAACCACAGAGACGTGCCAATGTCTGGTGGGGAGCTGCCGCCACAGGTCTCTGCAACAATGAGGGAGCCTGTGCTTGGCACCAGTGCTGCCGGGATGGCTGAGTCACTGCCCCCCTGCTCAGGTCCCCTGGGAGAGCATTTGAAATCACTGGAAGATCCGGATATGCCCAGTACTGGTGGGGTGCACAAAGTCGTGCATAGTGTGCGACCTGAGCCTACACTTGGCAGTGACCCTGCTGGCTCCCACTTTGAGCTCTGTCTGGGAAGTGTGGACTTGTTGGGCAAGGCTCAGAAGATCAAGATCTGCTTAAAACCCGGTGTGGAGGGAGCAAACATGGAGGGCGACACTCACTGCCTGACCCAAAGTGGGAGATCTGATTGTGCAACAGAGCGCAAACTGCAGGAAAGTGCTTTGCAACCAGGATCAGAGTTGCTGAATGAAGTTTCAAGTGGGAAGGGGGAAATAGGGGCGGTGGCTGCAGAGTCTGCACCATGTCTGGATGGCAAGACAAACCTTATCTGTAGTCAGCAGCCTTCACGATCTGTGTGCCCAACATCTGGGGGCACGAATGGGGTGTGTGTAGAGGGTGGTCAGGATGACACAGACAGCGTGCATTGTGTGCAGATAGTAACTCCCAGCACCACAGCTTTACAGTCACCACTTTCGCTTGAGGTGGGTGAAGATCAAGGCAAGGATGTTGGTGCACCAGGGCATTAGCGGGGGCTGGACTTGTTGAAGAGATTTCCACGTGAGGGGAAGTAACAGTGGCAATGCTCTGCGTAGATGGGGCACAAGTGGCTGCCATGCTCCAAAGCCTGAATTGTGCGTAAGTGAGTGCGTTGATCGCGAACGAAGCTTGCTTTAGACAGTGGGACAATGTGCACGGGCGGGCGAGGGGATTTTTGCGCAGGTTGCTATCGTTATATGCATACTGTGCTGGAGGTAAGAATGGGTGCCTTTTGTCATTGGCAACGCATGCAGTCGTAATTCCTTCTTCGCTGCGCTATCTGCGCCTTGGCTTCAGACGCGTGCTGGCTGCTGGTGTTAGAGCGTGAGCGTGGGGTGAATGATTAAACAGTCATGGGAACGTCAGTGTGTCCAAATGTAGAACAAGTATTATTAATGGGATTGTTTTCAATTCGTTTGTGCTGCAATCAACATGTTAAGGCGTTTGTTGGAATACCCGACAGCTGCCTCGTCACGGTGGTGCCGAAGCGAGCACAATGGCAATGAACAGCGTGGGTCTCATGCTCCCGGAAGAATCATATTGGAAGCATATTCTCACAGGGCCTTGTTGTGCTAACGGTGTGCTTGATGAGAAAGCCCTTGACCCGTTGAGTTGAAAGTGTTGTGCATATGCTGTGAATGCCTTGTCTCCATAATAGGAAAGGCAATTGCGCCCCCATCATCGCCAACAAATCTTCAGTTTGTGGCGTCAACCACACGTGATGCTAGCAGTCAGAAAAACTGGTTTGTAGTTTGTTCCTGCTTCCAAACATTCTGCATGAAGTCGTGCACAATTTTTTCGCATTGCAGTGTCTGGCGTGCATACTGTGCGCAGTGTGCTCGTGGAGCGCTGCACAATAGAGGGGTGTTTGGCACCTGTTGAAGGGAAGGCGGTTGATGCGATTCAAACCGCTCCATTTTGAGTGCACACAGCAAGTGCGAATCCACAATCGCCCATGCTACAACGGCGTTGGCACAGGGCCACACGCAAGGCCACACCCACACACACCTCAGGCTTACATATTTGCCTGCCTGGTTCCAAGTCCAAACACAACTTCCTCGCCGACGGTGGCACCAAACACGACTAGATTTCTTGATGACTCCACAGCCACCCGTCCACCTATTCGACCCCTAAGAACCATCATCAATCGCAAACGCCCATACAACAATTCAGCCATATACCACCTCATCACTACGGCGCAGCTAAGCAAAGATGCTATGTCGATTTGTGCGCTTAGCACCAACTTGGCATTAAGCTCAGAGACCCCCGCCCCCTTCTCGCATGATTCGTAGTGTCGGGGATGCTTTGCGGGGGTTTGGGCCTTTGGGCATTTGGATGTTGTGTGTCCACTTTGGGCTAAGGCGGCTTGGTCGTTCTGGGTGCTTTCTTGTGTTTTGTATGCTCTTGGGTTAGTACTGGGCCAGTGGGTGGGGTCGTCGGTTGGTGAACAAAGTACAAAGGGATGAATAACAATGATTATGATTATTAACAATTATTATTATTATTATTATTATGATTATTAACAATTATTATTATTATTATTATCCAAATGTGCGGGCCCGCAGGAAGCCATGTGAACTTGTTCCTGTCATCCGTGCCCCCTCCACCTCCGCGCCTCCACTGGGCACACAGGGGCCAGCCTTGGCCGATCCCCATGCGAACAAATGGACCCACCTCTCAGCGAACGGGCGCTTGCCCCACCAAGCTCGCGGCGCATCCGCGGAGAGAACCGGCAGCGAATCCGCTAGCCATTGGCCAAGGAGGTGCCCCAATATTTGACCCATCGTGGCGCCCATCGGCCGCGACAAGTGGTTTCGAGCCGGAGCCCCTGAGAATGGAGCTGCGCATGTGATTTTGTGCGGAGAGGAGTGGTCGCTGCATTCCCATCGGCCAGGGAGTGGCGGAGTGGAGCAAGTTGGAGAATTCCAAGGGGGGTTGAGTTAGGCAGTGTGGAGAGGGGGTTGGTGCAGTGTGCCAACGGGGGGGCGTGTGGTGTGACCGGGCGGGCGACAGCGCCCCCCTTTCCATGACATGCCGGTGAGGGGCACGCAGTGCGACGGTGCGGGTGGTGGCACCCCGGTACCGTGAATTGCCGGTGATGGGTGTGCAGAGCGACTGGGCAGGTGTCATCACCCGCGACCCCGTGACGCATCCCTGGGCCACATGAGGGTGCACCCCGGCTGAGCATAGTAAGAAGGCAACCCCCCAGTACTTTGCGTGCCGGATTGGGGTGGAACCTCCACCCGCACATTGTGGTGGCGAGTGGGTGCTTGTACATTAAGTGTTTGGTTCACAGTACTTTAGCTATGTTTGGGGGAATTGTAGACAAGCCTTGCACTGTCAACAGCACTAGTTGTTATGCACGTTGGCCTGATGTGAGAGATGCTCTACTAATGGTCTCTTGGTGTGGGGGACGCCCTGGCAGGGCGGCCCTGCCAAAGACACGGTAACACCACCCCAACCGGACCTTATTCTATTACACGATATGATATGGGAGTAGGCTGGGGTGGTCCCGCCTAGGTCCCCGTAAGGACCTAGGGGCCTGGCGAGGCGGGTCCATGGCTTAAAGAGGGTAGGCACCCCATACCACTAATGTTGTTGTATCATTTGGTTTCGGAGCCAGGTTGGGGGTGGCTCGCTAGCTTCGTTTGCACGCGAAGGCGAGGACAACGCAAGAGGACTCCATCCACAGCCTTCTCCATGGAGGTTGAGGAGTTCGAGAAAGCAACCCAAGAGGGCCAGACCACGGAGGCGGTCCAATCAGCACCCCAAGATGGGGCACCGGCGGCGGGCGCCGGTGAAGGGGAAGCAACCGAAGAGGGCCAGGCCGCCAAAGAAGCAGTCCGGAAGGACAAAGCACGACCATCTGCTAGCCAAGTGTAGGCTGAGGATCAGGACCAGCCTATGGTAGAAGCAGGATGATACGGCGAGGAGAGAGAAAGGGAGAGCGGCCAAGTCACTACAAGGGTTTAAATAGGGTGCTCACCACTATACATTGCCTGAAGGCTTTGTATTAGTGGGTGATTCGCTCTTCCCTTGTTCAAGGGACGCGGGGTCGAATCCCGCTAGGCGCGATTCGTTTGCTATCAATGGTTTCGGAGCCAAACCCGTCCCCGAAGGTGATTCATCGAGAAAATGGGCCGGATCGCCGTGGGTCGGAGTTCGAGCACCCCAAGAGAGAGCGAGGGCCGAGGGACATCCGCCGGGATCAAGGCGCCATAAAAGGATGAGTCATGGGCTTAGTCAAGCTAGCCGAAGTGAAGGGCTAAAGTAGGGCTTGAGGCGGGGAGAGAATTCGGAGTGACGAGGACGCCACTCGCCGGGGTTGGTAGAGATGATACGGCGAGGAGAGAGAAAGGGAGAGCGGCCAAGTCACTACAAGGGTTTAAATAGGGTGCTCACCACTATACATTGCCTGAAGGCTTTGTATTAGTGGGTGATTCGCTCTTCCCTTGTTCAAGGGACGCGGGGTCGAATCCCGCTAGGCGCGATTCGTTCGCTATCACAGGGGAGACCCCCATTGACGCACCGGCAGAGCCGGGAACGATGGCAGCATTCCTCCAAGCTCCTGGGATGATGGAGTTGTTGGAGAAAATGGTGGCAACAGTGGCTGCCAAGGCACAAGAAGCCCGCAATTGGGACGCAGCAGCCCAAATCGGGCGGCTGGAGATCGAGACCGCCTCCGCCAGAAGGAGGCGTGCCGGCATGAATTGGCCTTGGAAAAAGTGAAGGAGAGGAGCAAGGAGGCCAGAGCTGAGAAGGCCTCCGCGCAGGAGCAGGTGGTCGCATTGAGCGACCATCTACTGAAGCAAAAGGAGCAGGTGCACGAAGCGGAGGAAAAAGCTGCGTGTGAGTCCAAGCAACCCGAGAGGGCCACCAGTCTGACTGGACCAAAGATGCTGAGCATTTCAAAAGCGGCTAGAGAGTGGCACGAGGTCGGCTGGTCCAGAACGAAGAGGAAGAGTCCTTCACTAGGTGAGAACATTCAGCAACCTGAGATAGGTGAGCAAGCATGCCCATCGGCCAGATCACGGGTACATCAGGTTATGTCACAGGTGCATGCCAAAACACCAAGTGATGAAGAGCAGCCCAATGGGGACTCCTTGACAGAGAGTGCACAACGGGTGTGTGACCCGAGTTCCAGCAAGCTTGAGAGCTCAGCATAGAACCCACATAGGCTGGCACTGCCAGAATGGGGTCCAGAAGAGGATGCTTGAGTGTTGGATATTCGAACCGGACCTCACATCACAGTACAACAAACCGCAAAGGTGCAGAGCCCTGTGGACAAAGTTCCATTCAGACTGGCTTGATGACCTTGACAGGGGCTGGAAAATAGCCTCAGAAAGGTTTGGCATATGCCTCACCACTGCGAAGTCGATTAAAATTCAGCAGTGGTATGGCCTCAGAAAGGTTTGGCATATGCCTCACCACTGCGAAGTCGATTAAAATTCAGCAGTGGTATGGCCCCGGCATGGCGGATCAAATCACCAGGGATGATCCCAATTGGCCAGAAAAAATGGCCTTTGCACTCAAGCATATCCCTGAGCTATGGGATCTTAGTGATGGCAGATTAGAGAGGCCAATTCCGGATGACCCTCACCAACGATGGGAGGAAATTTCGGAATTGTCTTTTTCTTCCTGCGCCTCCCCATTGCCTTGGGACATGTCAAAAAGGGCGCAGGTTCATCGCATAGAGAAGGAACGGCGGCATGCTTGCAACCAAGAATGGTTTGCTTATGCGTAGTAGCTCGATGAGCAAATGATAGTGAACGAATCGCGCCTAGCGGGACTCGACCCCGCGTCCCTTGAACAAGGGTAGAGCGAATCGCCCACTAATACAAAGCCTTCAGGCAATGTATAGTGGTGAGCACCCTATTTAAACCCTTGTAGTGACTTGGCCGCTCTCCCATTGTCTCTCCTCGCCATATCATCTCTACCAACCCCGGCGAGTGGCGTCCTCGTTACTGCAAATTCTCTCCCCACCTCAAGC